TGAAAATTGTTGTGCCTTGTGCAAACGAGTTTTTAGTGTTACGTCTTACTTCTTTCATTTCCTCCTCAAGTTTTGTGCTCGTCTTATCTTACCGCCTCCTCTGCCACTTTGCCCAGCCTAGCTTTCCCCCTTCCTTGAGTGCCCTGCCAATCTTTTCCACAACTTGCTTCCCTGGCTCTCCCCCACTTCCAGGCTCCCATCCCTTTCTCATTTTCTTGGGTAGGGTATCCAGAATTTTCAACTTGCCCCCGTAATGCCAAGAGTAGCTCTTAGGAAAGTCCCTTTTGTCCTTTGATTTCTGAGGCCTGATTTGGTTTGTTCTTTCTAACAACCTTCGGTGGTAGCTGATCTCAATGGTTCGCTCTAACAACCTTCAGTGGTAGCCCATCTCACTTTAAGGAGTGAAGAAATTGATGTTGAAAGAAGTGTCAACGCAAACAATACCAGATCGTGGCACAGCTCATCCTGTACTTAATTATCTGCTCCACCTCTCTTACAAAACTGTCTCATTTGCAGAGAAGAATCTGGTATTGACTAGTTGTTCCTCTATTCCTAATTCAAAAACATTGGGAGTCTTGGCACTGTCTATTCGGGTAGTACTTTATGGAAATGCCTGCATTTATGGACTTCTATGTTAGGAGGGTTGAAAGGGAAGTTGTCATGGTCCCTAAACTGCTGATGATTAAAAAAAAGAAGCAGAATCTGGGTGGCCGGTGTTGCCCCCTGGGGCCACACATTCTGGGCCCAGGCTGCTGCTTAGGGCCATGTCTGGGTCCGTGGTCCTGCAGCAGCTGGGGCCAGGGTGATGTCCATGGCTCCTGTTACCACCAAGGGCTCTGTAAATACCCAGGGTCTGGTCAGCCACTTGAGACCTGAGGGCCATGCTGCTGCCGAGGCCGTACTGATCTGGGTGGCCTGTGACGCCACTGGGGCCATGGTGACTTCCGGATCCATGACTGGATCCATGGACCTGCTGCAGGGGCGCAGGTGAGCCAACCCTGAGGGCATGAGAACAACAGAGCTGACCCACCCTCTTCATCTGCTATGTGCTGGCATGGGTGAGGGAAAGATGCCCTCCCTCCTCACCCATAACCACCTGTAGCAGGCAAGAGGGTTGGCCCTGGGGTCACAAGAGTTAGGGAACTAGCCCTGCCCCCTCACCAGCTGCAGCACACAGGAGAGCTGCCTGGGGAGCACACTAGAGCTGACCCTGCTTTCAGGGGTGCAGGTAAACCAGCCCCGAGGGCACGAGAGCGGGAGGGCTAACCTCACTTCCCACTCGTGTGCCCCCTACAGCAGTCTGGAGGGGGCTCAGCCCCGCGCCTGGACAAAGCAGTAGTGCTGGCCGTGGTGGTGTGAGTGTGGGTGAGCCAGATCTGAGGACCTAAGAACAGGAGAACGGGACCTGCTCCTTGCTGCAGGCTCCTTTAGGTGAGCTAGCCAAGGCAGTGCTGGAGAGCTCGCCTGGGTAATGATGATGAGGGAAAGCTGGCGAGCTCACCAACCCAGCTATCACCCAGGCCCAGAACCAGGGCTATGAGTTGGCCCACCCCAACATCCACCTCATCTATGAACTGTTGGAGTGTGTGAAGGGAACGAACCTACAGGTCCAAAACAGTCTCTACGACTCAGGACAAACAACAGGATATCCAGGAACCCCAATGAGAGCCCATTATGGGCTCGAGGCAATGGACACTGGAAATTAAGGTGAATGGACTGAAGGGTAAACTGTGTGACTCAATAGACCATACTACAGTTTCCACAAGATTCTTCTCCCTTTCTCTCTCTCTCTTTCTCCCCCCTTTCTGTTTTTTGTTTTGTTTTGGATTTTCTTTAAATTTTGTTTTTTGTTTTTTTTTTTGCGGCGCCGGGGGTGGGGGTTGGGGGTTGGGGGAGGTTGCAAGGGCCGAGGGCAGATGTAAGGGGACAGAGAGGTATAAGTGGGATTGGGATGCAGCATGTGAAATCCATAAGAAATCAATAAAAGTTAAAAAAAAAAGAATATGGATTTTTGGAGTGTATTTGATCCTCTAATACACCAAAAATAAAACAATTCCTAAAATACTAATAATAAAAGAAGCAGGAAACCTACTGTTTAACATGAAAAGAGAGAACATTTGCATTGTTAATGTAAAACATAATGTGAATAGTCTTGAGTCTGTAACCTCCATGCATCTGCCTTCTTGCTACTCAGAGAGAGATTTCCTGAATGCTATTTTAGAACCTTATTCAGCAATCAGTGGGATAAAAATGGCTGGAAAAAACCAGACTCTTCTGCCAGTTCCCTGTTGTGGTTGTGAGATGAATTTTATGCAAGAAAGTGCTATTTAAAGTCCGAGGGGCAGTTTTATACAGCTGACTGTACACAATTCTAAAGGAAGAACACAGTCACTCAGGACACATCTATGGGGCTGTAGCTTTAGCTTTGAATTTATTTAAATTTTACAATGTCCTCTAGAAGTTGGTAAATATTCTTCTTTTATGTCACTGAAGCCAAGATATAAATAATGATACTAACAATGTTAATTGTACTCTGTAAAATCCTTGCATCTCCTTCGTAGCAGTTTTTACAGTTTAAACCATTGCCTAGTCTTATTCATCTTTTTATGCCAAGTTATGTTCCGTTGCGATCAGTGGGATGTCTGTTCTTTTCAGAAGGGAAACAGAGCTATAGTGGATCTGGGGAGAGGGGAGGTTGCAGGGATTGGGGGAAGGGGAGGGAGGGGAGGGGAGGCTGTGGTTGGGATGTATCGTATGAGAGAATAATAAATAGATAAAATAAAACCACTTCATTTTATTTTTATTTATATGTGTGTGTGTGTGTGTGTGTGTGTGTGTGTGTGTGTGTGTGTGTAGGTATGCGCACATGGGTGCAGGAGCCCATGGTGGCCAGAAGAGGGCATTGGATCCCCTGGAGTTGGAATTATAGACAGTTTTGAGCTGCTTAACCGAGGTGCAGTATACAATCTGAGTCGCTGAGCTATCTATCCCAGAAATTCATGCTTTATATTAAACGAATTGAGCTAAAGAAGCAGGGAGGGACATGGGAAACTCTAAAAGGGCTTCAGGATTAGTTTGCCTTGGTATTGGTTGGTGTCTTAATGGCAGACACTCCTTTTTTTTTTTTAAATTTTATTTCCTTATTTTTTTTTCATTACATTCCATCCCTCTCCTCCCCTCCTCTCAGCTCCCTCCCCACCTCCACTCCTTTGTTTCCTTCCAGAAAAGATCAGGCCTCCTGGGGATATTAGCCAAACATGGCATATCAAGTTACATATAACAGGAGCAGGCACAAACCCTCATATCAGGGCTGAGGCAACCCTAAGGGGAGAAAAGGGTCTCCCCTTGAGCAGGCAAAAGAGTCAGAGACACCCCTGTTTCCACTGTTAGGAGTCCCACAAAAACACTGTGTTAACAACTATAACATATGTATGCAGAGGGCCTAGCACAGACTCATGCAGGCTCCCTGATTGCTGCTTCAGTCTCTGTGAGCTCCTATGAGGCCTGCTTAGTTGATTCTGTGGGCGGTATTCTCCTAGTGTTCTCCATCCCTCTGGCTTTCATTATGCTTCCTTCCTCTCTTCTGTGGGTTTCCCCAAGCTCGAATGGGAGGGACCAGATGGAGATTTCCAATTTGGGTTCTCTCTCCACCAATGTTTGGCTGTGGGTCTCAGCATCTGCTCCCATTCGCGGCCTGTTGGGACATCTCTCGTGCTGGTTGGGCTAGGCACCGATCTATGAGTGTAGCTGTATATTGTTAGTAATCATCTCCTTGAATTATTTTCCCCAGTCTTGCTTAGTTCTATTCTGGGTCTCTGGACTGTCCAGTCTCTGGTTCCTGGTCGTTCAGGCAGTGTCCGGCATAGGCTCCCTCAATGGTGTGGGCCTCAAATGGTGTAGACCAGTTATTGGTTGGCCGCTCCCACATTCTGTGCCTCCATTGCCCCAGCACATCTTGGAGGCAGGAAGGTTGTAGGATGAAGGTTTTGTGGCTGGATTGGTGTCTTAGTCCCACCGTTGGAAGCCTTCAGTGGCAGACACTCTTATCTGAAATATGAGAAGCTACGGTAGCCAAAGGATAACTATGAAAACCTTAGCACTCAACACATGTGGTGGTGTTGTGTTCCCCAAAATATTGTGTACCCTAATAAACTTATCTGGGGTCAGAGACAGAGCAGCCACAATATTAAACATAGAAGTTAGGCAGTGGTAGCACACGCCTTTAATCCTAGCATTCCAGAGGCAGAAATCCATGTGTTCAAGGAGACACCAAGCATGGTGACTCACGCCTTTAATCCCAGGGAGTGGTGGTAGAAAGCAGAAAGGTATATAAGGCATGAGAACCAGAAACTAGAAGCTTTTAGCTGGTTAAGCATGTGGCTGGTTAAGCTTCAGGCTTTCGAGCAGCAGTTCAACTGAGAGCCATTGGGATGAGGACACAGAAGCTTCTGGTCTGAGGAAACAAGACCAGCTGAGAAGTTGGCCAGGTGAGGTTAGCTGTGGCTTGTTCTGTCTCTCTGATCTTCCAGTGTTTACCCCAATAACTGGCCTCAGGTTTGATTTTATTAATAAGAACTTTTTAAGATTCCTGCTACAACACAGTCCATTTTTTTTATCTGTATTAGATGTGTATGCCTTTTCACACACATTTTAAACCTCCTTGTTGCCAACTTTCAGTAATGTGATTTTCCTTTTGACAAACACATCTGAACTTCCATATCTCCAAATACAGCTTGTGTGTCCTGCAAAATGCCGAATTTCTAGTCTCTGATTTGGAAGCTTCTGGGATTTCAGTTTTTGGGAACTTTTTTTTTTTTTTTCATGTTTGTTTCTTTGAGTGGATTTGACTTTTGGACTGAACACCACTTGATGCCAAATGAGTAGGTGATTGAGTAACTCAAGTTGTGGTAAAACCTACATAATACTGACAGGGGAGGCTCTGGTTTTCCTTTTTTTTTTTTTTTTTTTTTTTTTCTCTCTTGTCTCTTTTATAAGGAACTTCAAGAGCAGACATTCAAAAACTGAGTCTGGGACGCTTTCTGATTCTCGAGCTTCCTCCTTGCAAAGCTCAGGCACATCACAGACGCTGTGACGCTGCCATGATCTTCGGTTACCTCTTCCAAACAACTTCACTGTTGCCGTTTCCCGGCTGTGTGCCGCTGCCTATGCCATTCTTTATGGTGCAGATTTGCCGTATTCTCAACGATCTGTGTTTATTATTCCTCTTTTTTTTCTAGAAAAGTTTTATTCATCCCTGATGAATGCCTACTAACTTTTAAGCACTCACACAGAGAGTTCCAATGTCTTCCTGGTGGTGAGTTAATAGCTATTAACTTCCATAGCATTCTGTGATTCCCTTTGGCTTGTTGTATTGATACTGGATTCTACGTTTTTGCTATAAGTGCCTTTGGTTTCATAGACTGTTTGGTTTCATAGATTGGTTTTAGTATTGTTTTGTTGACCGAGAAGATGATTTGAAGGGACTTACAAAGATAATTTTGTGACGCGGAAAAAGTTTTCAATGTACTTCAAAGACAGTATTCACTGCATGTATACATTATATATTCAATTTTTTTCTTTAATAAAAATTTAAGGGTCCTGGAGAATTGGCTCAGTGGTAAGAGCACTGGCTGTTCTTCTAGAGGACCTGGGTCTGGGTTCCACTCCCAGTAATCACACAGTGGTTCACAAACTTAGGTAACTCCAGTCTCAGGTCTTTGAACACTCTCTTCTGGCATTGGCAGGCACCAGGCACACATGTGGTACACAGACATATCTGCAGGCAAAACAACCATACATATAAAAATAAATAAAATTCAAAAATGTGCCATACTTTTAGACACTGTCTACTGGCATATCAATTGTTCACTAGCCCTTCTTACAATATGATTTTGGAAATCCTTCTATTAAGAGCTTGGATCTCTATTTCTCCTTTGGAATCTAGATGCAGAAGTGACTCTATGTGATGATCCTTTCCAGTTTTCTTGAGATACCTAGGAACATTGACTGCTTCTGTTCAGAAGCTCAACTGACTCAAAGAAGCATATGAAGAGGAGTCCAGGCACCTAATCCGCAGTCCTGGCTGAATTCCTAATTGCCGTCTAGGACCTTGAGTGTACCATTGTGAAAGTGGATCTTCAGATGAGTCACCTTGATGTACCACAGGGCAGTGATGACTGTTTCTCCTAAACGACACACATGCGAGCACACTACATGATGCTTCTTTTCAGTTGCTCATTTTAGTTTAGATGGTCATAAATAAGCAGCCTGTGTTGCACACGAAGTTCAGATAACAAAGTTTTAATTTACAAGTCATACATACTATGTTATCATCTTTGCTTCAGAGATGAGAATATAGTGTTTAGGTTGATCTCAGATGTACAGCTACTGTGTGCATTTAGCTGGAAAAGGATAGCTGGAAGAGAGATCTCTGGGTCTGACATGAGAATACACTGGTTGGAAGTCTATTTCTGTAACTTACTAGTAGGTGAATCTTAGCAAAAGGCTTAGCTTCCCTAAATCTGGCTCATTTCCCTTTTAAGTCTGACTAGAATTAATAAGCCTATGTTAACCTTTCTTTTCTCATTCATTCATTCATTCATTCTTGCATCCATTTTCACTTATTTACCAATGATTTATAGATAAACTGTATCAAACTGTGTAAGCAGTCAGAAAATAAAGATATGATACCTGTTTTCTTCTCTTCATGGAGTCTTCATAGTTTACTATGAAATTAATGGAATTAATGTATAATGAATACATTGCAAACAGTTCAATAAATATCATCTTATGAATTAGTACAGGGTTGCATTGTGACAACAGGAGACATCAGTCAGCTCTGCCTTTGGGTAATGGGGGATAGCTCACAGAATGAGAAACATCAGATCTGTGTCTCAAAAGGTGAGTAGACATCAGCAGGTGGATAAAGATCAACAAGGTGTTTCAGACTGGAGAGCAACACAGAGTTATAAGCACACAAGAAAGCAAGTGTCTGTAGCTAACTGTAAGAACTTGGAAGCTAGAGAGTGACAAACAAGCTTAAAGGCAGCCCAAGGGCAGCTTTGGAGAGCTTCGTGCACTATGTAGAGGAGGTTGGATGTTGTACGTACTGGTAAAGGGAACCACCAACGGAATTAGATTGTGCCAGGAACAGGCTTGAGTTGAAATTTAGAAAGCACCGGAACAACAGAGAACAGGGAGAGCAGAAGGGGAATGCAAAGCAGGATGCTTGCAATCTGTGCCGCATGCACCTTCAAAAGCTCAATAGAGGGTTGATGGAGGTCTGAGCCAGGGTAGGAGCAAGGGGTAAAGGGGGAGCTGTTTGTGTCAGACATATTTAAGGGACAGAAAAGACAGAATTTCAAACCAGGCCCTTGAACAGATGCAAAGATCCAGTCCAATCCTCTATGCTCAATGATAAAACACCCACTCTGCAAATATTTAACTCTGAGATTTGTATCACAAAATATCTTATATACAATCCCCAAAGAAAGCATATAAAATGCACTTTGAAAAATCTGTGTGTGACTTGTGTTAGTCAGGTTTCTGTCACTTAGGACAAAATGCCCAAGAAAATCCACTTAGAAGGCGAAAACATTTATTTTGGCTCAGGCTTTCAGAGGTTCAGTCCATAGATGCTTGGCCTCATCACTGTAGGCCTGTGGCAAGGTGGAACACCACAGGCAAGGCAGAAAGTCATGGTGGGGGGTGGGAGGGAGCAAAGTGCTTGCCTCACAATAGCCATGGAACAAAGACCCACTCTTGTCAACTACACCTTACCTCCCAGGTTTCTATCACCCCTCAAAAGCTCATCATTAGGAATCCCTATGACTCATCTCCCTTCCAAAGGCCCTGCCTCTCATCATTGCTACTTAGAGACAAAGCCATCATTATAAAGGCCTTTGGGAAACATTACATATCCAAATTCTAACATGACTTTTTTTTTTTAAGGGAACTATTTGAAGAAATAATCATTTTAATTAATTACTTACTGCTTGCTGAATTATTTTTCCTGAAGAGATGTAAACAAATGTCTGGTCACCCTGGATAAGGCTTCAGTGGAAGACCAAAGTAATGATTCTATCCAAGAGTAACTTGGTGAATGAATGAGTTTAGTGGACATGCTTACAGAAGTATGGGTTTGGTGGACATGCTTACAGAAGTATGGGTTTGGTGGACATGCTTACAGAAGTGTGGGTTTGGTGGACATGCTTACAGAAGTATGAGTTTGGTGGACATGCTTACAGAAGTATGGGTTTAGTGGACATGCTTACAGAAGTATGGGTTTGGTGGACATGCTTACAGAAGTATGGGTTTGGTGGACATGCCTACAGAAGTATGGGTTTGGTAGACATGCTTACAGAAGTATGGGTTAGCCAGTACTTGTAGAATCATGGGTCCCCCCTAACATGGATGACATTCTTTCCAAAGCTGCACTACTCATATCCCAGCTTCATTCAACTTTCTGCCTCCTGTACTCCAGACCTCCCCTAAGACTATGTGCATTCTGGTGGTTAGGAGGGAATAATGGCTGGACTTGTCCTGAGGACCCTGTGATCCTCCCTTCCCTTCTCTTACTAGGGAGTGTTCACAGCTTCATCACTACTATCATAGACTTAGATATTGCTGTTGTGTTCTGATTTATTGCCTGGACTCTGGGACCAAGCAGTCTATAGGTCACTCCAACAACTTCTGTTCATGATGGCTGATGGCCATGTAATGCCCAGAGGAAATCACTTTTCCATAATAGTTGCTAAATCATGAATGCATGTCCAGTGACCAGAATACACTAAACTTAGTGGAATTGGAAAGAAGTGTGGAGAAAGGCTGAGATGAAGGTAAAGCATGATCCTAATTAGTCTTATCAATAAAACCAGCAATCAGATATTAGGGTAAGAAACTGAAAGGTCAGAGAAGCAAAGGAGCAGCCACAATCACTTCTTACCTCTCCAAACACTCAGACCCAAAGGAGGTGCTGAGATACTGTCTCCACCCACCTTATATTCCTGTCTCCACCTCCCCATTGTGCTGGGATCAAAGGCATGAGCCTCTCAAGTGCTGGGATTAAAGGTGTGAGCCACCGCTGCCTGGCCTCTATGGTTAACTAGTGACTAGCTCTGTCCTCTGATCTCCAGGCAAACTTTATTTGTCAGACACAGAGTATCATACAGTAGGAAAGGGGCAACACTAGGTAGGACACTCAGATCCAAGTCCTTAGTTCTGCCTTTAGGGTATGGACCTTTGCTTCATGGGATCTTCTCAGAAGACAAACATTAGGGAAAAACACCATCTTGTCTTCCTCTATCATCTTCCTTTTTGGTATGGAGGGCTGACCCAAAAGAGGTTGCCATAAATAGTGAGATCTGGAGGAGTCTAGTTAAGTTGACTGACATATGGCAAGTCATATTGAACAAGAAACCTTGTTGGTTTCTCATGGCTTCAGTTACATTATGCCCCAGGAAATGGCCTTTCTTTGCTCTAACTCAGGGAAATCAGAGGATTGACTACATCTTCAGATAATTTTGAGTTCATGGAGCAGTCAGTCCAACAGCAGAAAAAGGGAAAGACATGTACAAGAGTGTGCATAGAAAACAGAATTTTGCTTTAACTCTTTTGCAAGAATTTGAGAGCTGGAATGTTAGGACATGAGTCTGGAGGGAGATGCCAGGGCTGGAGAATTATTATTATTATTTTTTTAAATATGTAGTCTCATATAGCCCAAGCTGACCTTCAACGTGTGTAGCTGAAGATGACTTGGGCATTCCCAATCCTCCTGCCTCTTTCTTGCAATAGGACTGCAGGTGTCCGTGACCACTCCTGGCTTCAGGGCTACCTACTGAAAAGGTTTATTGTTGTTTGAGTTGGAATACAGAAGAGGATCTCCAGAAATAACTCAGTCATATAAGACTCAGAGTTTGGTTGCAATTTATGATGTCCAGAAGCTGTGTAGAAAGGTAGTCTGTGGTCCACAGCAAGCATGGGAAAGGCATGATTTCAAGCTACTGTTACTTTAGCAAGAACACACAGATCTGCTATGGGCATTTCCACATAATACTGTCTGGGTTTGAGAGTCCTTAACTCAGGGTTCTCACTGTAATGAAGGCACCAGACTTAATTATTTTGCCATATTTTACCATTTCTCTAAGCTAGCCTGGGAATCCTTGCTCCTTGCCCCGGGTAGGAGGAGGAGGGAGAACAGAAAGTTCCTGTGGAACAGCATTAATCATCAAGGAGAGGCAATTGGCAATAAAACCTACATGGAGCCTGGGCTAGGCTAGATTTATAAGTGTGGCCGAGACCCAGCAAATAACTCTGATTTTGCCACCCAGCCCTTCGGCGAAAATGAGTCAATCCCGGGAGCATCCAGGCAGAACTCTGGAGCAGCTGGGCTCTCTACAGGGGAGGAGGACCCCATTGCCATTATTAGGGAGAAAGAAAGATTTCCAGGGGTCCTGGGACTTCTGAGTTTTCTATGTTCTCTCCTGTTCTTTACTTTTTTCTCTAATAAAATTATCCTCACATTTTCTTCTTCAGAAAAACCTGTACCTCTGAAACACTTGCCAATAAACTTATTTAAAGGCTGTGTAGAAACGAGGAAGCGGGAGTTAGGTGCAGCTGTATTGATCACTGGGGATCGAACGACAACCTTAAAAAATCTGTGTGGTTGCAGTCACCAAGTCTTTGGACCCAACGTTTCTGCCTTCATCCTTCCCTGTAACCTTAGCCTGCTTGTGAATGTGACCCACCGGCAGTCAGAGCTACTTCCCCTGGTGCTCGCTCCCTACCCATAATTCCATTTTCTTATGTGAAACAACCTTGACTTTTAGTAGAGAGGGGAGGCAAACACGGGGCAGAAACCACAATCACAGCCATCATCATCTGGTGCTCAATGGGGGCTACCACCATGTTTTGTACGGACACTCTGACTTTCTTCCCTCGGCAGGTGGGCTGCTCTTCCTCTGTGCCCGCTCTCTCCTGACCCGTCCTTCCTTTGAGTCCGTTTGTCCAGAACATAAAATATACAGAACCCATCTTTACCAACATTAACGTGAATTTGGCTACGTACTTATTTCATTTGATGGCTTTTCAAATCGTTACGTCTGTGCATGTGTGCGTTCATGTGTGTGAGTGTGGTTACACGTCGCCCATGGTGCACACATGAGGGTCGCAGGACAACCTTGGGCGTCAGCCCTTGTCTTCCACCTTGTCTGAGACCGAGTCTCTTGTTCGGTACTTTGTACATCAGGCCAGCTGGGCCATGAGCTCCTGGGGATTCTCCTGTCTCCAACTCCCCTCTTGTCTAGGAGCATCATTATGTCCAGCTTTCTGTGGGTTCTGGGGATCCGAACTCAAGTCCTCTTGTTTGCACGACAAGAGATGTATCCAGTGTGTTTGGTTCGAAGCTGTTCCCAGTACGTGTCAGCATGGGCTACTGACACTCGGAGCTTCACATGGACGGCTGAGTTTCTACTAATTCGCTTTTGAAGACGTCCTCCTCCCAGATCCTCAGGGAAACACGGCGGCTTTGCTGAGAGGATGTAGTAGAGAGAGAATATCCAGACTTCCCGTCTCCCAGCAACGAGATCCCTAGACTTCCCCATAACCTCTGTTGGATCTTTAGGACTTATTTTCCTTCCTATTAAGGTGACTATTCAAATTCTATCTCGAAACAAACTCAGATGAGTCATGACCCGAGATGCAGTTTGGAAAGCATGGCCCCTCTCTCTGACCTCCCTTCCTCTTCCTCACCCAGCTTGAGCGTTGGGTGGTTGTCTAGCCTTGCAGGAGGAAGAAGAGGTGGGCTGGGGCCTGGAGTCGTTTTCGTGTGGTTGAGCCTCACAGCCTCTTCTGTTTTGTTTCTACTCCTGAAGTCTTCTTCTAACTAACCCCTTCCCACCTCTTTACCCTCATCCCCCCACCCCCCCAAACCACAACCACAGTTAAATAATTGAGCGCACGAAACAAATAAAACTGCCTGGGTGTGAATATGTCTCTCTGGTCACGCTATCCCCATGAGAGACACCACCCCCGCCAATAGCAAGAGGCAGAATTCTCTAGTGAGGCAGGGTTGTGAGGGACTGGGAAAGGAAGGCCCGCGAGTCCGGGCAGGGGCCTGTAAGTTCTTGGAAGCTGGAGGAGGGTGGGGCGGAGGCACTCCCAAGAACTCTGGCAAACTTAGAAGGGAGAGGAAGAACAGTCTCACCTCCACAGCCATCGGGGCCATTTATTCATTCAACACAATTTATGACTTGGTTCATGTTTGGGCTCCTGGCTGAAAGAGAGCTGGAAGAGTCTCTTGGCACTGCAGCTCTGAATGTGAACGAGTCCATTTTAAACAACTATTTTTCCCCTAATGCAAACTTCCAAGGGGACTTGGAAAGTGGCTGTCTCAGAACCCCAAAGCTCTACTTAAAAATCTAGCTAAAGCATTAAAGTTGAGAACGATAATCACACTTTTTTCCAACTTCCTGTCTCTAGAGTCCTGGCATGAAGTAACAAGGTAATCTGTGA